AAAAGTAAAATTTAAATGTATATATTGGGGGGAGCCACCTGCTGCTCTGCCTGGCCATCCCTGCAGTGCCCACTGGCGCTACTGCCCCTTCATGTGGGCATCCTGGTTCCCTTTCTCCTTCCTCCTGGGGCCCCTTTGGTCTCGTGCTTGCTGTCTCTTGCCACCCTTTGCAGTCTGCTCTTTCTCCACCTGGCTCTCTCTAGTTTTCTGCGTGTGTCTGCGTCTGAGAGCCTGTCCACCTATCTGCTTGTATTTTTTGTCTCTGTGTTTCTGTCTGTCTGAATCCCTCTGCATTTCTCTGGTCCCCTGGGCCTCTGTCTGTGTGTCTGTCTAGATCGGTATGCTAGAGCGCATGTATTGAATGTGTGTATGTTTTCTCCGCCTGGTCTCTCTGCTTCTCCTGACTTTGGATGTCACCCCTCCTCCAGCCTGGCCTGGCCTTTAGGCCCCCCCGCACCACCCCCATCAGGGTCTGCAAGGAGTCCTGAGTTGCCCGAGACCTGTGTTCCAGCTTTCTTTGGGGCTAGAAATCCGGCTGTCCAAATATTTGGCTGCCTCCAGGGGATTCCGGGTCGGCAGGGAGGAGGATGGGTTGGCTGGCGCAGGGTCTCCCCTGCCCCTGGGGGGCCATGGTCACATGATGTCCTGTCCTTCGCCTCAGCTGGGGCCCTGGCTGCACGTCCCTCTCAGCAGGCTGGCAGTGGAGTGGGGGAGGGGCTGCTGCTGGCTCTGGCCTGGTCTTGAACCCAGAGGTTCTGCCTCCACTGGAGGCAGCCCGAGCACAGAGGGCCCAGGGCGGGGCGGGAGGCAAAGCTGAGGTGAGCAGTAAGCGCCAGCTGGGCGTCTCGGAAATGTACCCTGTCACAGGAAAGTCTGCCTTCCGGCCCCAGCTGGACCTCTCAGATCTCCTAGGCACCTCCGGATGCTGAGAACACAGAAGCACAGACCCCAGATCTCAGGGTCAGGGAGCTGGGGGCTGAGGAACTGGTGTGGCCAGATACTGGTCTCGGGCCATCAGCCTTCCTAGATGTGCCCTCCTGCGTGCCACCCCCCCCACCCCCGGGACCAGTCCAGGGTCGACTGCACACCGTCTGCTTGGGTGGCATCATGTGTTTTCAACTGCCAGGGAGTGGTTGACAGGAGACTGGGATTTACTGGGACCAAAATCTGGAGTTTGGCCTGGCGGGAGGGTGAGGGGTGTCTTTTAGTTTCCTTTCCTGTTCGAATGGCCTCCCACTTGCCCTAGCCCTCACCCCAGCCCTCCACCTCAGCCCTTGCAGCCCCTGTGGTTGGCCCAGTCTGGTTTGCCAGAGGGGGTGTCTTTCCAGGAAGCCAAGGAGGAGAGTGGGAAGGGTGGGCTGAGCTAGGAGCAGAAGCTGTCCTTTCCAGAGATGATAACATGGACCCTCAAGCTTCTTGTCCCCCACGAGCTGAAGGCAGGGCTTCCCAGACTCAGGAAGCCTGGGCTATGGCAGTAAGCTCCCGCTGCTGCCCATGGCCGCACGACCAAGGGAGGGGCACTGTCCGCCCCTGCAGCCCCGTTGGAGTTTCTGAGCACCGGGGAGGAGTGCAGGACTCGGAGCCCTGGAGACTCTGAGGACGTCGGTCCCAGGACGGAGGGGTTGGCTTCTTCTATCAGCTGATGTGAACAGCCACCCTGCTGTGGCCTGAATTCCTGGGCCGAGAGGTCTTAAATTAGCCAAACTCAACACCTGCAACGTGTGGCTTGTCACTCTGTGATGCCCACGTGGGCGGGTGTTACCTGCCGCACCGTCCTGTGGTGCCAGCCACCCCTGGCTCTCACCTCCCGCAGGATAATCAGGCCGGGCAGTGGGCCGGGCCAGTGATGTGCTGCCTGGGTCCACACTTTGCCCATGAGGAATGCAATTCTGATGACCCACCCAAGGTCACAGCGACCTCCCTGCCCTAAGGCCTGACCCTGCTCTGGGGCAAAGGCCCCAGGGAGGTTTCCCACTCTGTCTGCACGGGAGCCCTAGACTTTGGGGGATACTGAGGTCCTGACTGGGGCGTGCTCTGCCCACGGCCACACAAGTGAGGCTATGGTCCAGGCTGGCACTGCCAGGCTCTGCTGCAGCTTCCTGTCTCCGGGGGCGCCCCGCCCCCCAAGTTTGCCTGACCCAAGGGGTCAGGACCTGGGAGGCAGTAGGCCTGAGGGGTGGCTGAGGTCAAAGATGGGCTGGCAGACTCAGGGAATGGCTGGGGTCCTAAGGCCAGGCCAAACCTAATCCGCCACTGGCCTCCAGCCCGCAGGCCTGCCCTTGCCTCGGGTACAGACCTTAGTATTCAAGGCTTTACCAGGCGTGTCTGCAGCCACAGAACCTCCAGTCCGCCCTCACCTCACACCGCAGCTCAGGGCCTCTGCCAAGCTCTGTCCTCGTGCCGAGGCTCTCTCCTCTTGGGCATCTCAGGAGCTCCCGCAGGAATGTTAGAACCGGTTTCATCCTTTCCCTCAGAAAACCTCTCTTGACACCTCCCTCTCGCCCCAGCTGTGTTCTTTTTCTGGTGCTGGGAGTTGAACCCAGAGTCTCACGTATGCCAGGCAATGGCTGTACCACTGCGCCCCAGCCGCTGCCCTCTCAACATTCAGTTGTACCAAAGCCACAGGGTGGCACGGTCGGGCAGACTCGGGGTTGTTTTCAAACCTGTCCAGGCTGCAGGCTCTGAGGAGTACTCCATATCCCTCCAGGGCCCCAGAGTCCGGCAGTGACTGGAGTGAGCAGCCGCCAGCTTCTGGAGTCTGGGCCCGCCTCCGCTCACACGGAGGAGATCGGGACCCTGACCCTCACGCACTTCCATAGCCTTGCGCGGACTATGGTCTCCCTAGAAGCAGTGCCTGACCACTAGTGTTTGCCTGGGACCCCTCAGCCAGAGCCTGACGCACCCGTACACACAGCAGCCCCAGCCAGCCTGGCCTCTGCCGCTGCGGCAGAAAAGGGTGCTTTGTCCCCGCAGCCTACTCAGCACTCTGGAGGGCCTGTCCCAACTTGCCCTGGGCTGGGCCAGACAAAGGTGGCCTAGAGCAGCGCCTGGGGGCACCCTGGAGGGACTCTGGAGAGCCGGCACTGCTACCTGCACTCCAGGTGGGGAACTCAGAGGGGCACCGACCGCAGAGGCCTGAGGGGAGGCTGGCCCCTGGGAAGAGGGCTCAAGCAGAGATGTGGGCATTGTCGTGGGTGGGCTGGTGCCCAGAAGGCAGAGGCAGTTATGGTGCCGAGTGTGGGATCTGCAGAGATCTGAGCTCCTACCTGGGCCAGTGGAGGAGAGATCTTCTGGTCATGATGTGAGGCCTAAGCCTGGCCTTGGCCTTGTCTTTCCCACTCTTTTCTCCTCTCCTTTTTTTTTTTTTTTTTTTTTTTTTATTGACGCAAGTCTTACTAGGTTGTTCACACTGAGCCTTGTGCTTGCAATGCTCCTGCCTCAGCCTCCTGGGTGCTGAGATTACAGGCACATATCACCATGCCTGGCTCTCCTTTTCACTCCAGCCCTGAGCACAAAGTTCAGATTTCTTGCGGGTCCAGATTCAAGAACAGATCTGAGATGGATGTGGTGGTGTAAACCTGTAATCCAGCATTCGGGAGGCTGAGGCAGGAGGACTTCTGTGAGTGGAGGCCGGCCTGGGCTATATACCGAGACCCTGTCTCAAAGAAAGAAAGAGAGAGAGGGACAGAGACAGAGACAGAGACAGAGAGACAGAGAGAAAGAGAAAGAAAGAAAAGAAAAAAGAAAAAGAGCAAACCTAAGACCATCAGGGCCTGGAATGGGAAGCGGGGGTATTTAGGATAGGCTTTGGGATCCCCACGCAGAGGGTGGGACATGGCCTCAAGATCAGGCTCCTGCTGTCCTCTCTGGCAGAGCCACCTTACCCTGGCTCAGCTCTCCTGCTGGCTGCCGGTCTGACCTCCGGGATGTCCTAACAGACCCTGGGTTCACTCTTTCCAGACACCTTCTGGGCATGAGTCTTGGCTCTGGCGATGGGACGGGGCCAGTGAGTCATCTGGGCTGTGCTCAGGGCGGGGAGGAAGAGGAGGGAAGCTGGGTCCTTTGAGCCCCACAGAACCAAGCCCTGAGAGCAGAGAAGGGGCACTGACCCATGAGCCAGGCTCCTCGTCGGCTGGCTGAGGCGCTGAGCTCCCAGCCAGAGGCTCAGAGCATCCAACTATGTAACTCTGTCAAGAGAATGTAGTCCTGGGTGGTGGGCATGGAGGCTTGGGGTTGTCTGGCAGGAGAGGAGCAGAGAGGCCAGCAGAAGAACAGGGCCTTGAGGCCCAGGCTAGGTGGCAGATGAGGACTGTAGGGTGGAGACTGGGCCCTCTAACACCCGTTTCCTGGAAATGGCCCACAGCCGGCGAGAAGGGCCCAGGTGTCCAGTCACCCAGTGCTGCCTCAGGCCTCCTGGCTTCAGGGGTAGGGGCAGCCTCTGCGCCTGCTGTTCCCAGTGCCAGCTCGAGGCCCACAGAGGACCCTTTGTTCTAGCTGCCAGCAGTGCCCGCCGGGCAGCTGGGAACAGGGCCCACAGCCCTAACCCTCTCCCGAGGCCTCCAGCCATCAGGCAGTGCCATTCTAGGTTGGCCAGGAAGCCCCTGGCACACAGGGAGGAGCAGAAACCATCCCCCGGAACCCATGTGGAGGGAGGAGCACCCCAGGTTGCATGCGCGGACTGAGGTCCGAAGGTCGGGGATCTGCATCCAGGGGTCCCAGCGCCACCGGGCTCCAAACTCAGATTATCCAGATGACCCTCCCTTCGCAGATGGGGAAGCGGAGGACCAGGAACCGGCCTGGGCTGGTGGGGGGTGTGTACTGTCTAAGGTGGGGAACTCAAGTGTCCAAGCTCTGTGCCCACAAAGGCAGATCCGGGAGGCCCAGGCAGAGCTGTGTGTGTCCTGGGGGCCCCTCGGGAGGTGTGCTGCGGCCTCTGCCTTGGGGGGAGGTGGTGCTGTGGGCCTAGGGCGTGTGATAACCGAGGGATGGCTGCTCCGCAGACACCCGACCGTGTGGCGTGAGCGCTGCGTTCCTGGTGGTCACCCTGCGCCATGGAAGCACCTCTGCAGACAGAGATGGTAGAGCTGGTGCCCAATGGCAAACACTTGGAGGGGCTGCTCCCAGCTGGCACTCCTGAGGCCGACAACCGGCGGTAAGTAGAGGAGGAACCCAGCGGAGGCTAAGGACAGCACAAGGCGGGGGCACAGAGCCCGCAGCTGGAGCTGAGCCCCCTCGCCCGGCCTGTGCCTGCAGGGTGGAGGACCCCAGGCAGAGTTGTGCGGAGAGCAGAGGCTTCCTGCAGAAGAGCCTCAGCAAGGAGCCGCACTTCACGGATGTGAGCGGGGCCGCCGAGGGGTTGGGGGCACCGTGGGGAGCTCGGGCACAGCAACGAGGCACTCTGGGGGCAGCAGCAGGAGGCCAAAGGACAGGGAGGGGAAGGCCAAGATGCCGCCACGTCTCGCTGATTCCTGATGCCTCCCCGCCCCACTCTGGTGCCTGCAGTTCGAGGGGAAAACATCATTCGGGATGTCCGTGTTCAACCTCAGCAACGCCATCATGGGCAGCGGCATCCTGGGTCTCGCCTATGCCATGGCCAACACGGGCATTATCCTTTTTCTGTGAGTGCCCACAGCAAACCTGAAGACGGGGCCCCCGCGGGAGCCGCCCACCGTGACCTCCCAGGACCTTCCACTCCTCTGTCCAAACCACAGCTGCGAAAACACCCACGGCCAGATAAATATACCTCACTGCCCAGTAAGCCCACCGGGTCACGCACAGGGCCACCCTCACAGGCCTCAGTCTGTCCTGTGGTGACGTCTACACATGGCAGCTGGACCTGTGGCCGGCTCCTGTGGGCACATGAGTCCTTGCCTGTGGGGCTCTCCGCTACAGCCTGAATGGAAAATATGTTTGTCCCCGGGGCACCAGGGAGGAGGTGCTCGGAGGACAGGCACAGGTGCGCTTGACCCAGAGGTCCCTTCCGGGTTCGCCCGGGTCGAACAGGGTGGCGTTCACCGTTCCCTGGGGCCTGCTGAGCTTGTAGCCACACCCCTTGGAGTTCAGACGTGCAGGTCACAGACAGCCTCCCCATGTGGGCTTTCCAGTCCCTCCCTCTGCCAGCCAGGGTCGCCCCATTGACCTCTTGCCCTCATCTTCCCCAGATTCCTATTGACAGCCGTCGCCCTGCTCTCCAGCTATTCCATCCACTTGCTCCTCAAGTCCTCTGGGATCGTGGGTGAGCCTCCCACAGCCCACAGAGGGGTGGGGCTGGGCTGGATGGGCCTGCTCCCCTTGGTGTCCTCATCCCCCCCCCCCCGTTTCCACAGGCATCCGTGCCTATGAGCAGCTGGGCTACCGTGCCTTTGGGACCCCTGGAAAACTGGCAGCAGCCCTGGCCATCACGCTACAGAACATCGGAGGTGAGGCAGATGGTAGGTGGGGGCAGTGGAGGTGGACAGGTCTGAAGGCCAGCTGGTTCAGCTGACCCCAGTACCTGCCCCCTCTCCCTAGCCATGTCCAGCTACCTGTACATCATCAAGTCTGAGCTGCCTCTTGTCATACAGACCTTCCTGAACCTGGAGGAGCAGACCTTGTGAGCCCGGGGGGTGGGGTGGGAGGCCCTAGTCTCCCCATGTATACCACGGACTCTAGAGGCCCAGACTGGACTTGTAGGGGAGAAAGAGCAAACACACGGCCGGAAAACACCCCACATGGCTGATGGAGGGGCACAGAGCTGTCAGCAGAGCCACGTTTCAGTCCCTACTTGTTTGCGTGCCCCCCTAGAACCTGCCAGGAGGAAGCATGTGGGGCTGGGGTAGGGTGAGGCGGAGGAGCTAGACCCCGCCCGGCTCCAGCCCCCCGTCTGTAAGCACAAGAGCCGCAGGCTTAACTCTAAGTACCTGCTATTCCTGATCATGGGGTCACCCGCCCAAGAGATTAAGCTGAGTGTCCTAGTTGCCCATCACTTTAGCCAGTACTAACTGGGCATCGTCCTTGTTTTGTGAGTCGGGGGAGAGAGGAGATGAGCAGGCCCTGCTCTGGGCAGCCCAGCTCACGGGAGCAAAGGGACTGTGAGGCCGGAGCTCTGGGTGGCAGAAAGGGATGCGGACTCAGCCCCTGAGCCCAAAGAGCTGGCCTCTGGGTTGCCTTAGAAGGATGGACCCGGCCCTCATCCCGTCTCCCTGTGCCCCGTGTTTATTTCGAGCGGGTAGAGGAGGGGCAGAAGGTGCAAGATGCAGATGCCCGGAGAGACGTACAAGGGATGCAGGTTATCAGCGAGTCCTGAGACCCCGTGGCAAACACAGCTCCTCCCAGAGCCCGAGCCCTGGCTCCCTCCCTCCTCCCTTGAGGCTGGGCTGAGAAAAACAGCAGCAGGGGCTGCAGTCCCAAGGGTCACCAGCAAGAGCCTTCACACTCCCATTACACAGGAATCTCAGGTGCACCCGACTGCAGACAGGTACGAGGAGGCTAAGTCGTGGCCATGGATTCGTCCCAGGCCGCTCCGTGGCCCCCACAGTACCCCTAACCGGGGAAGGCCGGAGGTCCCGCCCCAGACTGAGTGGGTGCTGACCCTGGCTCCATACTCTCGTTCCTGCAGGGTCTGGTACCTGAACGGGAACTACCTGGTGATCCTGGTGTCTGTCATTGTCATTCTGCCCCTGGCACTGATGCGGCAGCTTGGTGGGTGTGACCGTGCTGGCCCAGGAGGGATGTTGAAGGGACGCCAGAGGCCCCAGCCTCACAGAATCCCCTCTGTCTGCAGGCTACCTGGGCTACTCCAGCGGCTTCTCTCTTAGCTGCATGGTGTTCTTCTTAATTGCAGTGAGTTACCCTCCGTGTTGGTCGAGGACGGGCAGATGGCCCATGGGAGTCCTCTGGCGGGGGAGATGGAGGGTGTCTCCGGGAAGCCTGGGTCAGAAGGCAGCCCCTCCAGTCTGATCTAGATGTGGCTTCCTGGAGTCTCTGTAGGCAGCCTGGTCTGGCTCTGATACCCACATCCCTCCCTACCCCAGGTCATCTACAAAAAATTCCAAGTGCCCTGCCCACTGCCCTCCAACTTGGCCAATGTCACAGGAAACTTCAGCCACATGGAGCTGGCTGGGAAGACACAGCTGCAGGGCGAGCCTGAGGCTGCTGCCCTCTGCACCCCGAGCTACTTCACCCTCAACTCACAGGTTCCAACAGGCCAGGGCAGGGACGGGAAGGCCTTGCTGGGGGGGCTCCCTTGACACAATCCCATGTGTCCCCAGACAGCGTACACCATCCCCATCATGGCCTTCGCCTTCGTCTGCCACCCTGAGGTGCTGCCCATCTATACAGAGCTCAAGGAGTAGGTGCCTGGGGCTGGGGGAGGGTCGGGGCCGCCCTGAGCTAGTTGAGGGGGCCAGGGGCGTGTGTTGAGGGGAGGGGACAAGGCCCCAGTCCTCTGGTCGGAGATCTCCTCCTGCCACAGAGGAGGTGGGGGTAAGGAGACGCCCTTGCTGCTGGACAGTGGGGGTGCCAGAGAGACGGGGGGCCGCGGGACTTCCCGGTGTGGCCCAGCTTGTCGCCAAGCCTTCGCCCTCTACCCGCCAGCCCCACCAAGAGGAAGATGCAGCACATCTCCAACTTGTCCATCGCCGTCATGTATGTCATGTACTTCCTGGCTGCCCTCTTCGGCTATCTCACCTTCTACGGTATGGCTGGACCGGCGGGGGCAGGGGTGGAGGCCAGACTGGGAAGCAGGGGCTGGACGGAGGCCGTGGTACCTTGCATACTATAGGCGCTCATTAGGTGTGTGATACCTGACTGTGCCCTGCAGCTGTGGAGGTGAGTCTGAGCCCACTCCCCTCAGCGTCAGGGCCCACCGGGCAGCTCAGAGCCCAACGCCGCGTGGCCTGCTGACCACCCTCCCTGCCCACCACAGACAGGGTGGAGTCAGAGCTACTGCACACCTACAGCCAGGTGGACCAGTTTGACGTGCTGATCCTGTGCGTGCGCGTGGCCGTGCTGACGGCAGTCACCCTCACAGTGCCCATCGTCCTCTTCCCGGTGAGCAGCAGGCTGGCGGCGAGGCCCCCGGGGATGGGCTGGCGGGACCGGCGGCGTGACGGCTGTGCCCCTCCGCCCCTAGGTGCGCCGTGCCATCCAGCAGATGCTGTTTCAGAACCAGGAGTTCAGCTGGCCGCGGCACGTGCTCATCGCCACTGTCCTGCTCACCGGTATCAACCTGCTGGTTATCTTCGCCCCCAACATCCTGGGCATCTTTGGGATCATTGGTAAGTGCCGGCCCTGCTGTAGAGCTGAAGGTTTTGCCCCGGAGCATTCTGCTTCTACAAATCCTGGCGGATTCCTGAGTTTACATTTAGAGGATGGTTGCTGGCCACGTGCACATTTTTATTTTGACTTCCTACCTGAACTTTTGTCCTTGAGGCTGTTGCAATTTTTTTTTTTTTTTAAGACAAGTTCTCACCGTGTGGGTCAGGCTGGTCTTGAGCTCACTATGTGGCCCCGGCTGGCCTCAAACTCCCTCCTAGAACCTGCCAGGAGGAAGCACGAAGGGCTAGGGGCCAGCAATCCTCCTGCCTCAGCCTCACAAATGCTGGGAACCCAGGCGTGCACCACCAAGTCTGACTGCAATCCTTTTTGAAGGCTCAGAACCATTGAGTCAGTCAGTCCTCCTTGCTGGAGAACGAGGGTGGACCTCAGAGATCAGGGATGGGCTGGGTATAGTGGCACATACCTGTAGTCTCAGCATTTGGGAAGGCTGAGGCAGGGGGATCACTTGAGCCCAGGAGTTTGAGGTCATCCTGGGCAGCATAATGAGACCTCCATCCCCCATCCCTCTCCAAAAAAAAATAAAAGATCTCTTTGGTGCTGGGCGTGTGGCTTGCGCCTGTAATCCCAGTTCTCAGGAGGCTGAAGCAGAAAGACTGCAAGTTGGAGCCCAACCTGCGCAATTTAGCAACTTAGTCTTGTGTTGAAATTTTTAAAAGTTTTTTAAAAGAGCTGGGATGTGGCTCGGTGAAAAGACCCTGGGTTCAGTCCCCAGCACTAGGATGGCAGAGTCCAACTACAGCAAGCTGTGTTCCGGAACTCATCATCCTGCTCATCTTTCCATCGTAACTTGCCTTCCCTCATTGCTGGTTTCATGTGCCGACACTGTTCTTGTTCATAGAACAAGGTGAGGGCTGGGGATTTAGCTCAGCGGCAAAAGCGCCTGCCTGGCAAGCGCAAGTTCGTGAGTTCGGTTCCCGGTACCGGAGAAAAACCAAAAAAAAAAAAAAAAAAAAACAAAAAACCATAGAACAAGGTGAGAGGCTGGTGGGCTCCCCAGACCCACACAGAGCTCTCAAGTAAAGTAAAACAGCTCCAACAGGGAGTGCTTGATCTCACTGAAGGTCTGCTCCTGTCTCAGCCGAGAGCCTGGCACGAGCCAGTGATGCCCATGCTGTGTACTTCGCAGGTGCCACATCTGCCCCATGCCTCATCTTCATCTTCCCTGCCATCTTCTACTTCCGAATCATGCCCACCGAAAAGGAGCCTGCGAGATCCACGCCCAAAATCCTGGTGCGAGGGGACCCGGGGGCCAGTGGGCTGGTGTGGGGCTACAGGGCTTCCCTGACCTCAGACCTGACCCTTACTCCTGGCCCCACAGGCCCTGTGTTTCGCTGTGCTTGGCCTCTTGCTGATGACCATGAGCCTGAGCTTCATCATCATTGACTGGGCCTCAGGGACCAGCCAGCATGGAGGAAGCCACTAGGATGCCCTGCTCTGTTCGCTCATCCTCATGTCCTGCCCAGACTCCCAGCCCCTCCCCATCCAGTGGCCAGTCAAGGGGAGAAAGAAGGGGAGAGCCGCACGGTTTAAACTCTGGCATTTGGCCCGGGCTGTGTCCTCTCCTTCGAAGACTTTCCTTAAAGAGCCAGGACCAAGCCCTTTGGGCCACCATCTGGAGGGCTCTAGAGCTGCAGGGGCTCCCTGAGCTGGGAACAGGGTAGAGTTGTCACCTCAGATCCCACCGGAACACATCATGCCCCACGGCTGTGTGTGCTGAGGCCCAGCAGCTGCCTCCTGAAGTCCAAGGCACACGGCGTCAGAAGCCAGGCCTGCAGCCACCCTCTGGGCCTGCTGCAAGGCCGGGGTCTGCACCCTGAGGCCTCATCTCCCCAGCCCACCCATTTTCCCTCGTTCGATCCCTTTGGTCCTTTTCACACACAGAGGCTCAGACCCTTGGATACTTTTGTCCTTTTCTTCATCGTCCCTCCAGAGGAGACCTCACTACCCGTGGCTGGGCCCAGCCCAGAAGATTTTGCTGGAGATGGGACTGCCGTGGGCACCAAGGGATCCCTGGTGTCCTTTCACCAGGCCCGGGGAGGCTGGGCCTCCCCACCACAAGCCTGGGCCATCGCTCACATTCCGCCAACGGGAGAAGAAGCTCTGAGCCCGGCGTCCTGCCCTGGGGAGCCAACGATCCCAGGGGCCAGCTGGGGCAAGCTGGGGAGGCTGGCAGCTCTTTTATAAACCTCACCCTTCAGACCCGCAGCATCGATATCCTTGGTCTGCATGGCCCCTGGGTTTCTGGAAAGCGGGGTTGGAGTAGGACGTGGATAGTGGATAGTGGAGGACCCCCTGTCTCCTTGCCTGGATGAGGGTGAGGCCAGGGCAAGACCCCTCCCCCCACCTCCTGTCTCCTAAAGGAACCAGTGGCACTCTCAGACCCGGCTTTGCCTGGGCCCGAGCCAAGCTCAGCACAGACCTGCTTTCTCACGGGGTGAGGTGGGGAAGAATTAATGAGGCCCCAGGAAGCAGAACAGAGAGAGGCCTCCGGAAGGAGGCAACGTGAGGTGCATTTCCAGCAGCTGCACGGAGGGTCTGAGCTCTGCAGAAGTCCCAGGAAAGACCCCCTGCTGCCCCTTGGCTTCCAGACTGCCAGGTCAGCCCCCTGTTCATGTCTTGAATCTGAGGACAAAAGTCCAGGGATCTTGTGTCCTGTTGGACTGATCTTTTTTTTAAATCAGATTTTATTGGTACATTTTAGACATACATAATGGTCACATTCATCATAGAGAATTTGTACCTGTACGTGATAGAACTTCTTTTTTCCCCCATTCCCCTGCCCTCCCTTCAACCCCTTCATCTTTTTTATTAGGAAAATCCACTCCAAATAAAGGTATTTGGGGAGGAGGGAGTCCGAGGCTCGCCAGGAGCTCCGAGGAGGCAGGCAGGCAGCCCAGGTGTCCTGCCGGGGTGCACTGGGAAGCTGCCCGGGCCTTGGTATCAAAGCCTCATTAGGAAAGACCCTGCACCAGCCTAGCCCACTGAGGAAAGGACACCAGGAAAAATCCAATTTGCACTTGCAAGGCAGCTGCCAGCTTGGGAAAGCCCTGAAGAAAGAACTTCCTCAAGCTGGTGGCTGCCTGGCCCACGGCAGTGCCAGCTGGGCAGAGGGGAGCTTCCTGAGTCCAATCCCATAAACCCCAGGCGCCTGACTGCAGCCTGGAGAATCACTCAGGAGTCCTGGAGCCCCAGGAAAGAGCTGGACCATGGCCTAGAGGTGGATGCAGCCCAGGGCACCCTGTGTGAGGCTGCTCTCAGCCGTCTCTGGGTGTTCCCCATCAGGTGGGGACCCTGGGCTTGGAGTGTGTGCACAGGAGAGTCTGTGGGCAGACGCTGGCAGTCTTTTCACACACCCCCTCCATGCACAGAGGGCATAGGACAGGGCCGCAGCAGGGCAACCTGGGGGTCTGCTAACAGCAGCCCCAGCCCACAGCTGGGGCTGGGACAGGACTGGCCCCCAGAGACCACCTGTGCCTGCCAAGTCAGGCCTCCTCCAGCAGGGTGGGGACAGGTCATGTGGCCACCTCTAGATTCAAAAGCCACATGCCCGTATGTGTGGGTGAAAATAAGTCCCTGTTCCTGCCACGTTCCAGCCATCCAGCTCCACTGAGGGTGGATCTGCAGACCTTTGAGCATCACTGAGCACGTTCTTTGTCTTGAAATTTTTGCCAGAAAAAAAAAAGAAAATTTTGCCAGGTTTTTAACTTGGATTTTTTTTTTTTTTTTTTTTTTTTGTGCTGGGAATCGAACTCAGGACCTTGCGTTTGCCAGGCAGGTGCTTGTGCCACTGAGCTATATCCCCAGGCTTCACTTCTTTATACTTTTAAAAAACTATTCCAACCAAACTCAGTAGTGCATGTTTTGTAATCTCTGCATTTAGGGAGGCTGAGGCAGTAGGACAGCAAGTTCAAGTCCTACCTCTGCAATTTAGTGAGACACTGATTCAAAATAAAAAATAAAAGGGGGGCTGGAGATGTAGCTCAGTGGTAAAGTATCCCTGCGTTGGATCCTCAGTACCCCTCTCAAAACAAAAAGTGAAAAATTCTGTTGTATTTAGAATAGTGACACACTAGGGTAGCCAGAAAGCCCAGCACCAACATCATCTATATTTCTTTTCATTGTTTTCCTTGTGGCCGTTTTTTTGTTGTTGTTGTTGTTGTTGTTTTCTTTTTTGGTCTTTTTGAAACAGGGTTTCAAGTCCAGACAGGCTGGCCTTGAACTCACTGTGTAGCCCATGCTGGCCTCCTACTTGCAGCAATCCTCCTGCCTCAGCCTCCCGAGTGCTGGGATTATAGGCATGCACTGCCATACTGCTTTTTCGCTGCTTTTTATAGAAGATGAAGATAATACAGACTGAAAAAAGGGACTAGCAGGAGATACAGCTCAGTGGCATAGTGCCTCCCTGGTAAGCACAAGGTCTTGAGTTTGATTCCTGGTACCAAAAAGAAAAAAAGGAACTGAAGCATCTTGGTCTCTTTGGGCGTGTCCTCCTTACCCACGTGCACACCCACAATTCACCTTTCAGTGGGACAGAGGTTTGTTTTTCTACACCTTTTATTTTTGTGGCACTGGGGTTTCGGTGCAGGTCTTTTTTGCAGCTAGGTGAGTGTTCTACCACTGAGCCCCACCCCAGTCATTCTACTGCTGTGTCCTGAGAGTCCCTAAGGCCCCAGCACTCTTGCAGCACCTCCAAGTACAGGAGGGAGCCAAGAGACGACCTCTGCCTTACTGCACCTCCTCTAGAGGGGAGACTAGATTCAGAACAGAAATAGCACACATGACCACCAAGTTATATCGCTGGTTAGAAGACCTCCACACCACAGAGCATGGCGGTGCACACCTGGAAACCCAGCATCCGTGAGGCCGAGACAGGAGCCTCACATAAGCATGAGGGCAGCCTGGGCTACGCAGTGAGTGCAAGGCCAGTCTGGAATGCATACAAGACGCGGTTTCAAAAAAGACCAGAAAACGTGCAGTGCAGTGGGGAGTAAAAGGCATCAAGGTAAAGGCAGTGGGAAGCAGGGTGGGAGGGGAGCAGACCGGGCCTCACTAGAGGAGGGCCGAGGAGAGAGAAGCCCTGTGGAGCCCCTCAGGGGAATGTTCCGGTCTGTGGGATCGGGCAGTGCAAAGCCCTGAGGCTGAATGTGCCCGTCACATGAGAGGATCAGGCAGGAGGCCATGTGGCTGGGTGGGGCCGGAGAGGACAGAAGTGGGGATGACAGTGGGGGACGGCCGGGGCCCTCTCAGCCACTATAAACTCTGGATCTTCCAGCGGGAAGATGAGAGCCAGAGGAGGGTCCTGAAGACAGGAAGGGAGGGGCAGGATCTGACTTAGGTTTCCTATGCACTGCTCTAGCTCCTGCACCTAGCCTCGGGGTGGGGTGCAGGGCAAAGGTCATCCTGACACAGGGGCCACCGCTGCTCCTCCAAACAGTCTTGTCGGGGTGCTTAGCCCAGGTGGCAGGAGAGCGGGGGTAAGTGCTGGGCCTGTCCACACTGGGCAGGTGTGGGCCCAGCTCTGAGCAGCCCACACCGGAGCTTTGCTTCGCAGGCAGTGAGTGGCACTGGCCGTGGGGTGTGTGCAGAGTGGCTGTCGAGCTCCCAGCCGAGCGCTGGTGGTCAGGACCCGGGGAGTCCCAGATGCGGCCCAGGGACGGCAAGATCCGGGGGGCTGGTGCAGATGTTGGCCTTAGCCCAGCCTAAAGCCATCTAGCCACCGAGTTTCCAACAGCTTTGGGCAGTGATAGTTGACTGAAAAAGAATTAGAAAGAAAAGAGGCCCTGAAAAATATCTGAAAGAACAAATCTGCTTTGAAAACCATACCGGGTGGCTGGGGATTTAGCTCAGCAGCACAGCGCCTGCCTGGCAAGCGCAAGGTCGTGAGTTCGATTCCTGGTACCGGAAAAAAAAAACAAAAAAATTAAAAAACCAAAATATTAAAAAAAAAGAAAGAAAGAAAGAAAGAAAGAAAGAAAAGAAAACCACACCGGGCTGCAAGCGCTGACCGGGCCTGGACAGCCGGAGCCGGCGGCAAACCCCGCAGGTCTGCGGGAGGCAGCTGCTGCCCCCTGGTGGTCGCACGCCGGGCCAGGCTGCGCAGAGCCCCGGAGCCGGCGCCCGGGACCATCACTCACGGCCGGCCCGGGCCCTGAGCCCGGGTCCCGGAAGGCTTCCTGCACGGCGCCCGGGAGGAGGCAGGCGGGCAGGCTCCGCAGCAGCCTGGGCCTCCACGCTGGGCAGCGCGGCCCGGGAGTACGGACTGAGCCCCAGAACGGAGGCGGAGGGCGGCCAGACCCCGGCGGCGCGGGACAGCGTTCCGAGCGCGCCCAAGCGCAGCGCACTCCGCAGCGCCGGCTC